CACTTACAGTGTATCATGTCAGGGTTGGGGGAGGGCGGTTGTGATCATGAATCCTGAATTAATGTCTAAATAAATTTAATTGAAGAAACTTAAGATAATAATATAGTAGCGAATAAAAATAAATGCTTTTATTAAGAAAATAAAAATGAATTTCTAAAAAACATTTATAGATCTAAAGCAATGCAAGTATTACTTTGTATTTGATGAATGGCGTGCATGGTATTTGAGTTTACTAGTACAAAAATATGAAACAAATGTTATTTATATGAATTCAGTTGTGATCACATTCAAAATTTAAATGTTGGAAAAAAAGTCTAACAAGAAGAAAAGCAAACAAAAAATTATCATAATTTCGTAATTTCTATTGCTAAGATAAGGAAGCAAGTGGCATCAAAAGTTACAATGATTACATCAGACGGGGTGAAGGGGGGGGGGGTGATCAGGAGAAAATCTACACACCTGAGCAGCTTGAGCATGGAAAGCATTTTAAATGAAGAAGACAATAAAGGATACTTATCACTAGGTGTCGTCTTATCATTACGTGTATTGAATTTAATCCACTAAGACATGCGCAGATCAAGGACTTTTTTCGAGGTGGGGGTGGAAAATACCCACACCTGTTGTAACGCTGATGTTTTGAGTGCATGTAATTGCCCCTCATTTACAATTAATAATTACACAGCTATTGCACCCTCCCAAATTACTTAACGTGTCCTAAATAATAATCTTACTCGTCAGTCTCTTCATTATGATATAATCATTGGAAGGTTTTTGGCACATTAAGCCTTTTATAGTGAACATATTTTCCTAAATGTTACTAAAGAATATTGCATAAACTGCCAACGTCCTATGCTGCGCAGTATAAGCAATTCTCTTCTCAATTAGATGATAAACATTCAAAATGGAAGCTCCGCAAGTACCATACATTATCTTCTCTGTTTACAACTTGCTTTTCTTTTATGTGGAATTTACAGACTTTGAACTTTGAATTACTTAGCCTGACTAAGAGGAAGTTTTTTTGAAGTTATGAAGAAATTTTTATTTCAGTTTTGAGAACTACTGTAGCTTTGTCTAGTAAAGACGTTCAAATATTTTGTAAAATTGAGATCTAATGTCCTTTCATTATCCATAAAATTGAAACAAAAATATATTTTCTTCTCAAACAAATCTAATTGAAGGATAGGGAGATAATAAGCAGTATTCAATTTCAAATTCCATAAAGCAATATGAAATAGGAGCAGAGCAAACACGGACCTCCAAAACATCAGATGTGGGATCAGGTGCTATGGAGGAGTGAATATTCCCTGCCGACCAGTTACTCCCGCCGTGTGCTACTTGTCATGATCGGGAAATAACGGAAAACTCCGTCGTCATTCCAGTGTATAAATAATGGACTAACAACTAGTATGAAAAACGCTAAAGACCAAGGAACAATTTCAATACAAATATCGCCCTGTGATTTACTTAGATATGAAACTGATGTAAAAAATAAAAACTATTGCTTTCTGAATCATTGAAATCCCATTATGAAAATGCATACAAATCAATTTCTCACATGCATCTCTAAATGCTTGTTGCGACGTCATTAATATGTTCATTTTCCTGAAATAAATATCTTCAGTTTCCTGTATTTTCTTAAAAAGTTTTGAAAACACCAATTTTCAATGGAAGTTTTAGATAATATTGTCAACAGGCATCGCCCAAATTTTGAGATATATGATTTTTTTTTATTTTACACAACAAATCCAAAAATAAAAGTAGGCAACGGCTGTCACATTTTTTCTGAAGGAAAATACCCGTGAAATTAGTCATTTTGAGGCTTTTTTGTTGAGAAATGGAGAAGTGCATCAAATTAATGACGTCATATTACCGGAATGATACTCCCTTATGGTATAATCTTTCCTGATCTACCACAATAATTACCTCAACTAAATTAGATATTTGACCCAGTTTCAATTTTTTTTTGAAAACATTAAATTTTAATTAGTTTATCTTTATTAGGATTGTGCCAATACTAGTAAAGCTAAAGCATACCGTGTTCTTTAAAAGACAGTATGCGAACCATCTATCAATCCGTGTTCACTAAATCGGACGTGATAAAAGAATTAATAAAACTTTCTGAGCAATATGTAATGGTTACAGCTGACAAGGCTTGACAATATATCGGTTTTATATGTAAGGCTCATTATTTTAACCGTATTATAGAATTAGGCCTAAATTTTTCGTAGTTCACTTTCTAGAGTGAAATTCCTCAAAATCACAACTTTTAACATTGCAGTCCAGGGGAGTTATATCTACCTGACTTATATGTACTATATTCCTAAACCTCATAAAAATCCCCCAAAACAATGAAATATTGCCAAATCCAGGAAATGCTCTACTAACCCTAATTTGAATTCCTTTAAAAAATATCAACTCTGTAAGGGAGAATCTTCAGATTTATTACATACTTTTTAATAAATACAGGATTTTTGCACATGCGATATAGCTGATGTCACAATAGCCATTGATACTGATAGCAGTATCAGTCCTGCAGGGCTGATATGGATTTGCAGGGCAGATACGGATCAATATCACATCCTTAGAAAATTAAACCTAAAAAAAGTGCTTGTGATCATAAACACATTTTGAGGGTAATACAATTCTCTTAATTTCACTTTTTGAATGTTTGGATAATGTAATTGACAAATAATGCTCAGTAGATTTTCTTTTCAAATAACGGATCAGGGACATTTTAAATAGAGTACATGACTGAATTTACAAACCCAAACCGTATGAGACAACACATAGATTGTAAGAAGTCCGTGCATAATTATTTACTTCTGTTCTCAACTTAATGTGTTCTGTTTTTTATTACTAAGTATGTCATAAATAAAATAAAACATATTCTTTTCCACATCACACCCTGAATCAGTCCTCGACCAATATCAGCCCTCGGCCCTCTGGCTGATATTGGTGTCTCGGGCTGATACAGGATGAGATATGGAAAAGGGTATGTGTTATTCTCTATTTACTTTACTTCAGAATATTCAAGAAGTGGTGTAAAACAGATGTGCATTCTCAAAAACGCCAAAACAACTTTTAGAAAATTTAAAATCGCCAATTTCTTTTTCAGAAGGCAGTAATAGATATTGATAATAAAGGATCCGACACTTTCTCATTTACAATATTAATGCAGTCTTCGGTGAACAGGTCTTCCAACATCCTCAGAAATTCGATAGGAAATGATTTTGGTCCTTTATAAGTTGATTTTCTATATTTCTATGGAGTCGAATTTATTTAATTTTTCTCATTGAAAAGAAAAAAAAAACACTTACTGTGACCATCAACTCGACGTTCAGATATTTGAAGACTTTTTTAATGAGCAATATTTACTTATATTCATATGTCAACTCCATATAATTATGTCAGTAAAATTGTCTTAAACTGAGACAGGCTACTAACAGATAAGTTGGGGGATTTCAGCATTCTCTCTTAAGTTGAGATTTTTGCAAAGTATATTGTCATTTTTATGACGTTGTTAGTACACCCAATCATTGGGTCGTATTTTGACAAAGGTGTTTCATTTCAGTTGTAAGGTCTTTGTTTTCATATTAAGAAATTAGAATGTGTATTCCGTACAATGCTCACAAGGTTTGAAAGTTGGGGATAATGGACAATTTTCATTCTTACAGGGAAAATATATGTATAGGAGAAGTGAGCATTATGCAGCGGTCACATCTGCCATTAGTACTGTATATGAATAAAAGTTAAATTGAAAACATATCTTGAATCAAGGAATTTTATTATCAAATATTTAACGGTCATTTTTATGTAAACTATTTAAGTATCAAAGGTTACTGACAGTTAGGAGCTGTAGAAGTATTACATTAAAACACTCGCTTTACATGAAAGGAACTTTAGTCAGTTATATTTGTCGGAAAGATATCTATAAAAAGTGTTTGTTACCAAGTACTATATCAGATTAAGCATACAATGTTGTGAATAAATTTCTAAATAATCAATTTTCAAGTACCATTTTAACAAACACACACTAATATATCTTTTTTCTTTATTTTGGATTCAATTTTTTTTATTTTTCATAAGCGGGATAGCGTTTTTACTCTGGATAAAGATCACATTTTTAATGTAAGCTAGTCAAGTATCAAGTCATTTTTTTTCCTGTGACAACCTTTTTTTTTAAATTATACACTGGATCTGGTTTCACTTAGGAGAAAGACTACACTGTTATTTGGAAGCATGTCAAGAAACAAATTATTCTTTTAAGCAAAAACAAAAAACAACAACAACAAAAAAAACCCAATTACTATTTCAGTGTTTCGTGAGTTGATTATATTACTAACGCCCATTGTTGCACAGCATATAAAGGGCTTCCTCACCCATGAAACGATACTTTACTGCAAAGATGGGTGTTCTACAAGTACTTTGTTTTATTCTTTCTATGTTTGTGTATGGAACATTTGGTGATTTATCTTTAATTAAAAACGAAGCTTCTGATAAAAATGGTTTGCTCTCTAGTACTGTATCCGGTAAGGCTTCCAATGTCTTACGTGACATTCTGAATCAGGAAAGTCTGGTCCGCTTCTCTATGGTTCAGAAAATACAAAATCTGGTAATGGATGCCGCGGACAGTAAAAACGACAGACAAGTTATAAAGGCGAAACTTAGTGAAATGGCAAAGGACTTACGGAACTTGGAGACGAAAAGCCAAATATTGGAGAATACAATAAAGGAAATGAAGGTTCTAAATGAATCTCAATCAGTCTCTACCAAAATCCCCGAAATTGAGGAACTCAAATACCAAATAAATGAAATGAACGTAACGTTACAGAAGTGCAGTGTGAACGGTCTTTTGGAACGTTATAAATATACAGAGAACGCTTCAGGAAGATCTGTGAATGAAACTCTGCAAGCTGTTTGTAGGGATCTGAATGAATCCAACTGGATCTTGTCAAAAGGTATATTATTACATTTTATTTACGTTTAGACCATTAAACCGAATTTAAGCGAGAAAAAATTGGATCAAGCGTTAAAAATTGAACTTTCTACGTAAAAACTATGAAATAATCATTCTTTTCGCAGACCGAATAAATCAAGATTGATTTTGAATCACGTATATATATTTTTTTTTCTCTCTGATGTTCTGGGGCTGCCTTTTGCTCATTATAAAGCTAAATTTTAAAAGAACACTATAACGTATATAATCTGATTTACAATAAAGAGTATGTATGTGGGTAACATTAAATATTCTTTTACACAGTGCTTCCAAAGGATTGTTGGGACATTTTGCAGAAATACCCAAGTTTAGAAGGAAGGGACGGGGTATACAGGATATCCGTGGCCTATGAAGTAAAGTCTGTTTACTGTGACATGAGAACTGATGGAGGAGGGTGGACAGTTAGTAAAAATTGTTAAATTCTCTTCTACAAAATAAAGCATTTATAGCTGTTATCAAGTTTTCTTATTAAGTACGTAAACACGTCTTAAACTTAAATTACTCAAGTTTGCTAAATTTTAAACGAATTCAAAATTCAATTAATGTGTTAAAGGTAATTCAAAGAAGACTGGACAATTCTACAGACTTTTACAGGACGTGGTCAGAATATAAACAAGGATTTGGGGATCCCTCTAAAAACTACTGGATAGGTAAGTTAAGTTTATGTAAGATTTACATTATAAGGTGTCTATCTAAAACTACTGGATTGGTAAGTTTAGTTTATTCTCCATATACATAATAAGGTGTTCATCTAAATGTAATGTCAAAATATAAACCAGAATTTAGGGATCCCTCTTATAACTGTATTTGTTTATTTTATGTTACATTTGCATTATAAGATGTCTATCTAAATGTAGTGTGAAAATATAAATAAGGAGTTGGGTATCCCTCTAAAAAATGCAGAAAACCAAATATTTCATTTGTGGATTCATTCTTTTTACAAAGAGTGTGCGAGAAATTAAAAAAAAATGATGTTATTGATGCGTTCAAGGTGCATGCCATTTTATGAATATTTAAATCCAGTAAATCATCGAATGAATTCTAGTATATTACATTTTGCCCATGAAAAACAAGCATCCCTACCGGGATCCCCTTTTCTCGTCAGCATACAAGCTCGTTTGGAACATTAATTTAGTGCATCAGTAATCCGATCGTAATTCCAATGACAAAAATTAAAAATACCATAATTCCGTGAAGAAAAATCAATAACGCGGAACGAAATGCAAACTTGATCTGTAACTCATTGAGATACACTAACATACCAAAAATCATTTCGATATCTGCAAGCCTTTAGAAAAAAGTGTAGAAAACCCATTGGGACAACAGACCAACAGACAGAGGGACAGCTAGGCGGACGGACGCGTACATACAGAGAGATAAACAGGTACTAATTAGGGTACTTATGAATAGATGTTTGAGAGTAAGGCCAATATACTGGCTTGCGACTGATTTAAAAAGAAGAATGTCGTTAACATTTTCCTCTGCATTCCTCATTGATTACTTTGTAATTGGGTATTTGTTCTCTACCGTTCATCCAATTCACGTGTTATGCCTGAAATAGTTATGAACATGGACATCCTTAAAACATTATTGAACATAATACATTATCACGTTATTAATATTTCTTCTAATGAACAAATAATGTTTATATCAACATACTGCTCATTCTGACTTTGTGGGATGGGAGATCGGTCCTTCGGGTGAGACCTATTAACTGAGGTCCTGTGTCGCAGTAGGTGCTGGCACGAAAAAGGTCCCTCACTGCTCAATGGCCCTAAGCGCAGAGTAAAGGACAAAATTTGCTCCTGTCCACCGGCAAGTGGTGGCGTCTCCATATGAGTGAAAAATTTTCGAGAGGGGCGTTGAACAATTTACAATCGATCAATCATTGTGACGTAGAAAGAATACTGTAGTTTCATCAATATTCGTTGAGCACCAATTTTCGATTATATCGTTGTTTAGCAGACCCACGAATTCAAACGTTCATTGAATTAAGAAAAATCATATTCATTTGTATAGGCAATGCTTTTGTCCACGAAATTACGTATCCTCGAAAACGTCTCTTTTACAAAATCCACGAAAATTGATGCCAACGAAAATTGATGACACCACAGTACTAAAATAGATAAGACGCTAGTCTTCTTAACTTTTTTCCGAAATAATGAAAATCATATTGTGCGCATCTTTCTCGCAATCAAAATCTTGCTTTCAAAACAAAAAGATATATATTTGCAAACGCTTTTACAAAAATGAAAAATATTGACAATACAAAAGCAAACTTTGAAAATGTATTAGCCAAAAAAAGAAAATAATAAAATAAAGAGAAGACATTTTTTTCCTCTGTCAGATTCAATCTTATCTCACCTTGACAAAACTTTATTGGAACAGCATATATTATACATCATAATGTCCATACGAATACCAGGAACCTACAAGTTTTTATGGTAGGTTCTATTCATAACCTATCCATTCATACCAAAACCGCCAATATTGCAATTTTTGTAAAACGCCGATGGGTTTAGTGGGCAGTTATTAAAATCGTAAAATGACACCAACATCGCACGTAACGTCAATAAAGGTCCTGTCACAAGTCATTTTGAATAATGTATCGTAGCTATTGATATAGGACGGGGTCCGACTCGGGTTGTCGTTATCGCGTTAAACCCCGCCCTGTACCTCCGATACACTAGAAAGCTCGTTGTCTAAATATAACGTGTTACATTTAAGAATTATAAAGATTTTTTATCGTAATTTTATATAACTTTTTACCTCCTTGTAGGAAATGACGCAATCTTCGAATTAACAAAGAACAAGGACCAGGAACTCCGGGTTGAGCTACAAAGATTTAATGGAGACGAAGCATACGCTCAGTACTCCACATTTTATGTCGGAGATATGTACAATAAATACAAACTCACTGTTTCGGGGTATTCAGGAACCGCAGGTACGTCTACTCATAATAATTTTTACGTGTCAAGGTAGCCTAGTGGTAAAACGTTTGTTTCGTGATTGGGAGCACCGGGTTCAATTTCCGGTGCCGCGTCAAATCTAAGACGAAAATATTGGCAGTGACTGTTCCTTTGCCAAGCGCTCAGCATTAGGAGTGAAAGTCACGGGTTTTACGAGATGACCTAAAAAAACGTAGGTCCCGTGTACGTAAGACATTTGCACGATAAAGAAACCTCCCTGCTCAATGGCCTTGAATGCCGAGCATAGGTCTTTTGAAGCCCTTCACCGATATACGGTGACATCTCCATGTGAGTGAAAATTTCTCCAGTTTTTTTACGGTGACATCTCTACATGAGCGAAAAACTCTCGAAAGGGACTTTAAACAATATATAATAAATCAATCATAATAATGTTACGAAATGTTCTGTGGTCACAGGGGATTAGAATATCAGTTTAGAATTGAATTCTGTTCTGACTGGAAATTGTGAATATAGTGTAATGAGTGTTCCTTATGTCACTATTAGACTGGCACCAAAAAAGTTTGGTTGACATCATATTTTAATTGTTCATATTATGAAGACACTTTTCAATGGATATTATCTTAATATGTACACTTTCGAATGATAAAAAATGTTTTATATGGAATAAATTAAATAGAAACACAATTTATGCATGTAAAACTGCATTGAACCCTTTTCGCGTTTACATACTCTTTAAGGTCCTACCAATGACAGACAGTATTACTCGTGTAGATACTTAATTCATTCATTAATTACTTGGTGTTATAAATCATAACCAAATAATGTTCATGACATCCCTAACAAAAAATACTATAGTAAACTATAATAAACTATATTTAACTATAGTTTACTATAGTAAATCAAAGTTCCAAAGTTTTCACCATAGTAAATCAAAGTTCCAAAGTTTTCACCATAGTAAATCAAAGTAGTTTTTACCATAGTAAATCAAAGTTCCAAAGTTTTCACCATAGTAAATCAAAGTTCCAAAGTTTTTACTATAGTAAATCAAAGCTCCAAAGTTTTCGCCATAGTAAATCAAAGTTCCAAAGTTTTCGCCATAGTAAATCAAAGTTCCAACGTTTTTACTATAGTAAATCAAAGTAGTTTTTACCATAGTAAATCGAAGTTCCAAAGTTTTCACCATCATAATGTTCATGACATCCCTAACAAAAAATACTATAGTAAACTATAATAAACTATATTTAACTATAGTTTACTATAGTAAATCAAAGTTCCAAAGTTTTCACCATAGTAAATCAAAGTTCCAAAGTTTTCACCATAGTAAATCAAAGTAGTTTTTACCATAGTAAATCAAAGTTCCAAAGTTTTCACCATAGTAAATCAAAGTTCCAAAGTTTTTACTATAGTAAATCAAAGCTCCAAAGTTTTTTTCTATAGTAAATCAAAGCTCCAAAGTTTTCGCCATAGTAAATCAAAGTTCCAACGTTTTTACTATAGTAAATCAAAGTAGTTTTTACCATAGTAAATCGAAGTTCCAAAGTTTTCACCATAGTAAATCAAAGTTCCAACGTTTTTACTATAGTTAATCAATGTTCCCAAGTTTTTATTATAGTAAATCAAAGTTCCAATGTTTTTGTATTTACTTTAACAATTTATATATTTTAATTAAGTTTTTTTTTTTAATTATTAAACTGTTTTAAGGGGGGGGGGTTATATTAGGTTTGTTGGGGCTGATTTTTATTGTTCATCTTATATCTAATTTAAATATGAAAAGTGTTTAATTTAAATGCAATGTATTTATTTATCATTAGAAAAAACATGTTGCCTTAAGTAAATGAAGCAAATATTTTGATTCTAAACGACTCAATTTTTATCTTCTAGTTATTTTTTCTCCATAAATAAAAATTACGTTCTATCTGCACAAATTAAAATCAAACAATTTAAAATAATACTGCTTATTTACCGATGCAAGAGACAATTTTTACATTAAGACCATTTCTTTTACTTTGATCTATTTGGGGGACGATTCGGGTTTTTGAAGAAAAAAATTCTGAAACTTGACCTTGAAATTTATAAAATGTAGAGAATGGGAAGCAAAACCATAATCCCATGGGTTTATAGTGCTTAATCAAAGTTCCAAAGTTTTCCCCATAGTAAATCAAAGTTCCAAAGTTTTCATCATAGTAAATCAAAGTTCCAAAATTTTCATTATAGTAAATTAAAGTTCCAAAGTTTTCACTATAGTAAATCAAAGTTCCAAAGTTTTCACTATAGTAAATCAAAGTTCCAAAGTTTTCCCCACAGTAAATCAAAGTTCCAAAGTTTTCACTATAGTAAATCAAAGTTCCAAAGTTTTCACCATAGTAAATCAAAGTTCCAAAGTTATTACTTTGATACTATAGTTAACTTTAGTAAACTATAGTTAACTACAGTTTACTTTAGTATTTTTTTTGTTAGGGATTTTTCCGTTAAATTTTTAAACAAAAAGCAAAAGTACCATTTAAAAATAGTGAGGTGTGATGTCCAGTTTTCTCTCATATACATAGAAGAACAAGCCTTTTATATATACACAGTACATATTATATTATGTTCCCCAAACGAAGTTGGGGAACATATTGTTTTTACTCTGTTTCTTATTAAGGTCTTCCGTCTTCACGGAAGACCTTATAGTGATTGTATTGTTTCTTATTATTATTATTATTATTATTATTCTTTTTTTGACAAAATTTTGTGCACGCGATTTCTCGAAAACTATTCAGCGGTTTTCAACGAAACTTTCACAAAAAATGCGTCATTATATGAAGTTGTGCAGTCTATAATGTTTTTTGGAAAACTCGCTTCCGGTGCCAAGTTATGGACAATTTTCTGATTTTAAAATGCGATTTTGTCGCGCACTTTTATCGAAATTGGCTAAAGATATGAATTGGAGACTTATTGGAGACAATAGCTCGTGACTTTCTGGTTTGCAGAATCACCTTTTTGTGCGTCGTCAATACTTCCGGTCATTACGAGATGCAAATTCAAAAAATCGTATTTTTCTAACTTTTTTGTTTTTCAATATTTTTTATTTATTTTTAGAATATTAATAGAGACCCTTCTATTGATGCTTACTATATAAGTTGTTTGAATATTGGTTAATCTGAACTCTAGATATTAATATTTGAAAATTTGAAGCGGGTCCAAGATGGCGTCTGCCTCTGTCAACTCCGCCATTTCGCGAGTAGGGGTTTCTGGAGGCAGCTGAGCGTTTGATTAAACCATTCTGACATAAGGATACATGAAATGTAAAAAACTACTTTGACTTTCACGTAGTAGTACGTTGTAATTACGTGTCAATCTTAAAACTTAATTTCCGTTTCACTGCTTTAGTTTAACTGGGCTAGATACCATATGTAATGTGTACAATGTGTTAAATATACCTTCTTAACGTCGAAATAAAATAAAGGCGATAAGTACGTTTTATTTATTTAATTTCATTGAAGCTATCACACCTATTTAATAGATCAGTCCAAAGAAAAGCGCAAATATTTACTCGTGGCGTTTGGCGCGAAATTATCAATAGTGGCCCGCCTTTTATAATTCTTAGACAGGTGTCCTGTTGCAAATGTATACACAAGTATATTTAGAGCAGTGCTCTCAATAGCTTAATGGTTTGCGCGTTAATAGATCACGTAGTAATTACGTTACAATTCTGTGTCAAACTAAAGATTTATTCCAGGGTCTACTCAAACGTCTTCTGTAACTGGTTTTGGTTGGTTCTCAAAGTAGAAAAAGAAAAGACTAAATGTGCAAATGAGAGATACCTATTATCATTTGTTGTGCAAGACGGAAAAACAGATCTTAAATCATAGCTATAAGTTATAGTTTTTCAAGAAACAATATCGATGTATGTATATAGTAAGTATAAAACGTATAACCACTGTTTTCCCCATGCACACTTGTGTGATATTAAACGAACAGAAAAGACAAAAATAAGAAAACCATTTTAATAAGATCGTCTAATGCAGTTTATATTCACATTCTTTTCTCAAAGACCTGAATCAAGTTATTGAACATAAATGGTAACTGATTCCTTGACTGTCGAAGAGCGAGGCATGTTTTTCGGCGAAACATTTCAACCTTTTTATGAAAGTGTAACTAATCGGCATAGTTCACTTCTGAGACGGGAAATAAAAAAATTAAATTAAAGTCATTTCACTGCTTTTGTGTTACTTTTCTATAGAATGTGTACAATGTGTTAAATATATTTTCTAAACCTCAAAATGTAGGCTATGAGAACGTTCTTTTTTCTTAATTTCATTGAAGCTATCACACCTATTTAATAGATCAGTCCAAAGAAAAGGCGCGAAGATTTAACGTGGCGTTTGGCGCGAAATTATGAATAATGGCCCTCTTTTATAAATTCTTAGACAGGTGTACTGTAGCGAAAGTATACACAAGTCCATTTAGAGCAGTACTCCCAATAGGGTAATGGTTAGCGTGTTGGGGATAAAAGGGGAAAAAGCGGATTGGATTTTCACGCTGGCGACCTGGATTCAATTTGTGACCAAAAGTTTTAATCACTTCTCAGCTCGACTTTACGAGTTTGTTTTTTCCAGAATCGGACGGAAGACCTCTCGTTGCTCGCAACGAGATCGTTTCTAGTTATTAAGGTCTTTCGTCTTCACGGAAGACCTTATAGTGATTCTATTGTTTCTTATTATTATTATTATTATTATTATTATTATTCTTTTTTTTTTAGACAAAATTTTGTGCAGGCGATTTCTCGTAAACTATTCGGTGGATTTCAATGAAAATTTCAGAAATTATAGGTCATTATATGAATTTTATATAAAATTCCGTTTGTTGGAAAATTCGGTACCAGTGCCAAGTTATGGACAATTTCCTGATTTTAAAATGCAATTTTGTCTTCGAGTGTTCTCGAAAACGGCTAAAGATATTAACTGGAGACTTGTTAGAGATGATAGACCATGAGTTATAGATGTGCAATTTTGACTTCGTTTGCGTCGTAAGT